GAAACAGACTCTTAACTATAGAACAAACTGATGGTTGCCAGGGGGGTGGGGGGATGGGTGAGTAGGTGAAGGGAATCAAGGAGCACACTTACCACACTGAGCACTGAGTAAAGTATAGAATTGTTGAATCACTATATTGTACGCCCGAAACTAACAAAACGCATTTGTTAACTATATTGGACTTAAAATTTAAAACTTAGTAAAAAATAATTTTAAAAAATTAAAAAAAATATAATGTGAGAAACACATGTAATTTGTTTTTTGTAGCCACGTTGAAAAGGTAAAAAGAAGCAGGTGAAATTAATTTTAGAAATGTATTTTCTTTTCTCCAATGTATCCAAAAGACTAGCATTTCAACATGTAATCAGTATACCAATTATTTCTGAGTTACATTCTTTTTTCATCCTAGGACTTTGACATCCAGTATATATGTTTACATTTATAACTCATCTTCATTCGGACTTAACCACATTTTAAGTGTTTGACAGCCACATGTGGCTAGTGGCTCCAACAGTGAACAGCACCATCGTAGAGCATGGATTTCTTGCAGATTTATACCAGTCAGACATTTGAACACTATAAATTTTGTCTTCACTTAAACTGCTTATTAAAATATTGACCAAGACAAGTTCCTCAAAAGGTTAAGCTTCGCGTTACAATATGGACCAGCAATCTCCCTCATAGGCCGACACCCAAGAGAAAAGAAATAAAAGGAAAATATTTCAGAGAGAAATGGAAACATACATCTCCCCAAAAGCTTATACACAAATGTTCACACCAGCATTATTCAAAATAGTCAAAAAGTAGAAACAACACAAAGGTCTGTCAACTGATAAATGGGTAAGAAAAATGTGTTATGCCCACAGAATGGAATATTATTTAGCAATAATAAGAAATAAAGTACCGACACATACCATAACATCAACAAGCCTTAAAAGTATTACACTAAGTGGAAGAAGCCAATCATCAAAAAGTACATATCATATGATTCCATTTATGTGAATAGTCAGATATTCTAAAGAGACAAATCTATAAACACTCCAAGTTGGTTAGTGGATGCCTAGGGCCAGGGTTGTGGGAAGATATGGGGAGTGGCTGCTCATGAGCACAGTTTCTTTTTGGAGTGATGAAATTTGTCCTACGATTGATTGTGGTGATGGTCATACATATAAGGAAACACTGACTTGTACAATTTAAATAGGGAAGTTGTGTCTATGTGAATTATATCCCAATGAAGTTGTCATATAAAAGAAATAAATAGCTTATCTGAACGCTTAAAAAATATTGAGCAGGGCAAAAGCTTAAATAGAAGTTTCTAAGTAGATATTTCTCTGTTAATCAATAATCATTAGATAGGTTTGTTCTAAAACTACTAGTTCTCCTACCTGTATTGCTGTGATTCTATGTTCCTCGTCTTATCTTCAAGGAAAGAATCCATCCAACTAGCCCCTAGGGAGAAATAGCTTGCAGTCAAGCACTTACTTATTAGATGATCAGGATAGAGTCCCTGCTCAACAGCGTGTATGGTCTAGAGAAGTGGTCATGAAAAGAAACAAACAAATATAAGCCACTGAGAATAGACAGATAATGGAGAGTCTACATACAGACTCATAGGATGCTCTTAGGAAAGTAAGATAAATGAAGCATTTCCTAGATCTACCAGTGCATGGTGCTGATTAAATCAAAGCAAAGAATTGATTAAAATAATTGGTCATGGCTTTAAAAAATTTTTTTAAATGTTTATTTTTGAGAGAAGGGGAGAGAGAGAGAGAGCACAAGTGGGGAAGGGGAAGAGAGAGAGGGAGAAACAGAATCCAAAGCAGGCTCCAAACTCTGAGCTGACAGCTCAATGTGGGGTTGAGCTCTGGAACTGCAATATCATGACCTGAGCCAAAGTCAAACATGTAACCAACTGAGCCTCGCAGGTGCCCCTGTCATGGCTTATTTTTAGTGACTTTATACTAAGTCATGGGGACCTCATTTTTTTGAGGACTCTTATGATCAAATCACATCTAATTTTCTTTCCTTAGAATTTTGCCAAGATTCCTCATCATGCTCATTGTTTTAATGGATTCTAGATTCCAACTATTCCCACATTTTAAAAATAAGGAAGAGGTTTAGCAACTCCAGTCTTGGGATTTTTTTTTCCATTTCCTGATGATTCCTCAAGGAAAGGGGTCTGATAAACAAAAACTGTCAAGATCCAACTTGACACATGTTCATCAGGAAACATGTTCACAAATGTTTTTAGCAATGTTCTTCATAAAGGAAACAATACAAGAATCTACCAATAGTACAACTATTAAAAGTCCTTGTCATTGGTTTACCAGGCCATGGCACCCTACATAGTGAAAATAATAGATCAGGTTACACGCATCCGTGTGGCTGAATTTCAAAAGCAACATTGATCCAAACAAACAAATTGTTCATATAAAATTCAAAAATAGGCAAAACTAAAAATACTATTTACTGATACATTGACATTATGGTTATAGCCCCCCCACACACACACACATACCCACAATAAAAAGCAAGGATGTCATTAACTCAAAATTCAGAACAGCTGTTATGAAGGGGGTGGGAAGGTGGGGAAGGACCCGTGATCTATCGGATTGTAGCACACGGGCCACTTCTGGAGTATTGGTGATGTTTCGTTTCTCAGCATAGATGTTTAAGCTGTACGGAGACATTATCATGTACTGCTTGTAGATTTTACAACGTTTTAAATCCCAAAACAAACCATGACAGAACACCAGCGACGGTGCTGGTGAAGCAGGTTTTCACGGGCATCGATCATCTCATGCACATGTTATTCTGGTTTATGAATTCGTAAATAGAGCCTACATTAGCTGGATTCTGAAAGGCAATGCTACTTAAAATATATAGATTCCTTTGTCTCCGAGAAGCTTTAGAATCTGGCAAGAAATTTGAGATAGAAGATTCCTGGAACCCCAGGAGGGCCGCCAGGGCATAACCATGCGCCTCCCACGTCCTCCCTCATCTGGCTTATGGCCTGAGCAGACCACCCCCGGAGAAAGTGAGGTCAGGGAAGCAAGTGGAATATGTGTACCAAGGCCTGATACCTTCATTTATTCCATCTTTATCCTTGGACATCAAAAACTCCAGAAAAATGGGGAGTGGAGGTCACAGTAGTCTCTTGGGCAAACAAATGGAAGAAGCCCTAATCTGCCTACTCATCATGCTCATAGATCACGCTGGAGACACCTGCCTGGACTGAGGCCCGAAAGAAACTTTGGCACAAGAGTTGTCTTTGCATTTAGTAAGCTGGTTTATCTGAAGTGCACTAAAAGCTACGAGATGGGAAGGAATGGACAGTTGCCACTGACTCAGAGCCTCTTATTCTCCCAGCCAGACAGAGTCTAAGTGCCGATTGTAGTCAGTTCTAAATACAGACACAAACACGCCAGTTTATGTCTCCAGAAATATTCGGGTTTCTATTCTGCAAGAGGTAATATTTTTACTTGTTAGCTCTCCATGTAGGGAAGAAGGATCGCAGAAGCTTTTACACTGTGCCACAGTTGCTCGTTCCCCCAGAAGGACATATTTGACAAAAAGATAGCTAAGAAAGATAGTTTCAGGGGCTCTCTATTGTTTTGAAATAAAATTAAGGTGTAGTTTCTAAATTCTCGTTTGCACAGGTATGCATGTCAGCCATCTCCAAAGGTCAGCGTCCTGAAATGGCTGTCCCAGAATGAATTTGCAACTCAGTGGCCTTCTTGCATGTGGGGTTCTCTGCCCATTCCACTGAGGCTGCCTGAATTTGCTCAGCCATTCCTTCCTTTCTGCTGGAATCTGGGACTGGCCCCAAGGCCAGGATGGGGTTGACAGAGGGGCAGTGGAAACCTTTGGGCCAGTCCCATCTCCTGCAAGGCCAGCCACTGGTAGGTAATCACCACCAGAGAACTAACATCCCCATTCTCACCCTATGGCTTCTTTGCATCTTGCACAAAATATCCAAAATAACTCGAATCTGTCTTATTTTCCTCAAACTATTGATTCTCAGCAAAAAGGCATCAGAATGGGGTAGGACGTGACACCCATGCCCATCAATCGAGATCATTTGAGGGACACATTCAACTAAGTTATCCATTCCGGATTCTAATAGGTGTGGTCTTCAGACTGAGTGGTTGGGAGCAAAAAAGGAATTCTTTTTTTTTTTTAATATGATTTTTGCCTCAATCGTTGGTCTAGCTACATGGTCGTGATTTTCACACCTGCATTTGACTTTGTCCTATACCATACATCGGTGGCTCTTAGGTCTGTCTGCACATTAGAATTGCCCAGATAGATTCTTAAAAAATAAAGACCACTTCCCTGGCCTCATCCTGATATCCTGACTGAGTTGGTTTGTGGTGGCAGCTCAGGACCTGCCCTCTTCAAAAGCACTCCAGATGTTTTCGAAAGCATAACCAGGGTTGAAAAGCATTATGTAGAGGCCAAGTGAAAACAAGGGAGGATCAAAGGGAGCCATAAACCAGAGATTTTACTCAAGATGTTTATCTATTCATGTTTAAGTTGGGGAAGAGAAAGAGGGGAAGTAGGGACCCCTTCACTGAATGTTAAAATGACCTTTGGAGCATGCACTTGCGTGAAGCCATGAACTGACATTTGATCCTGCCATGAGCAAGCCAATACGGGGTGACTGGGGAACCAATGAACACTAAGAAGTGTCACTGACCAAAGAGATTCACTTCATGCTCCCAATACGGCAGATGGCAGAATAATGATTAAACTTTGCAGTCCAGACTGGATCCCAGTCCAAGTTCTGATTTTTAGCCACCATGACCTTGAGTGCACTCCCTATTCTCATCTGTATAAAACTGGGACCTTGACACCACCTGTCTCCTAGGGTTCTTGTGAGACAGCCCCAGGCGCCCAGTAAATGCCTGGTTAATGGTAGCTGCTTCATCCAGGTAGAGTCTAAGTCCCTCCCTCCCACCCTGTTCCTCAATGCAGAATCCAGGATAGTGAATGCGAGAATGCCAAGAAGAAGAGGTAACCAGGTAACCGATGCCTAGAACAAATGTTCTTAGTTGTTTAGGGACCAGGACTCTATTTATATATTCATTGATAATATTCAACCAACATTTACTCAGCATCTATTCTAAGGGTTCCCTTGTGATGCTAATATTATCCTAGCTTCTCAGTTGTCCCTGTGGGTTGCTGTAACAAAAATACCAGAGACTGAGTGGCTTAAACAGCAGACATTGATTTCTCACAGTTCTGGAGGCTAGGAAATCTAAGACCAAGATGCTGACAGATTCAGGGTCTGGTGAGAGCCCATTGTCTGATCGCTGTCTGATCGCGTGGAGGTCTTCCCTCTGTCCCATCGCTGGTGGAAGAGAGGAGGGGATCCTCTTCTGTCGCTTTTATCAGATACCATCCCATCCATGAGGCTTCCCTCCTCACTACCAGTCACCTCCAAAAGGCCCTACTTTCTAATACAATCACACTGGGGGGGAAGGTTAAGATTTCAACATACACAGTTTGGGGTGTGGGGCAGACATTCGGTCCAGAACACACAGCCATGTTACAGATAAGGAAGTGGGCATGGCTATGGAGCCACAAACATTGCACTGGAATCTGGACCCAGATCTTCTAACCCCAAGGCTGCATTCCCTTTCTTGGTGAGCTCATCCGGGCTGGTGGCTTTAAATATCATCGACAAGCTTAAGTGGTCCAAACAAACATCTCCAGCTCAGACTTCTCTGAACTTTCCACTCATGTATCTAACTACATTTCAAGTATTTCTAGTGGAATGTCTACTAATTGTCTCAAATTTAATGTATGTAAAACTGAGCTTCTGATAACCAATCCACCCCCACCACCACCTCCGCTCCAATCACCAACGCCTCTGAGTCTTTTTACTCCGTAAATGGTAAAGGGCGGTGCATGCTGCTGCCCCAAATCTGACTGCAGGAGTTCAGGACCCACAACCCCAAAGTATGCTGCTTTGGGATACTGATTATTTTGAGCTGTAATCTCCTAAAAAAAAAGGCAAATTCAGGAACAGGCTTTCTCTGAACACCCCTTATCCACATATACACGGTGCCTCAAAAGGAAGTTTCCCTCTGGGAGTTTCATCAGCCAGGAAGGATCAACTCTTATCACAGGAGAGGAGACTGGGACGCTAGGAGACGCCACACCCAGCAAACTGTCACAAACGGTCATACCTCCCATCCCTACTTCTAAGGGCCCCTTCCTCTTTCCCAAAGATCCTCCATGGCCCCCTGAGAGGCCTATACCCCGCCCTTCCCCGTTTAAAATGGCCTGAATTCTAAAGCCATCTCTTTGAGTTACTAATTTTCACTCAGTTTCTCCCATGTATCTGAGAGGTATACATGTTAATAAACGTGGGTTGTTTTTTCCTCTTGTTAATCTGCCTTTCATTACAGGGGAGCTCAGCCAAGAACTCAGGAGGGTGGAGGGAAGATTATTTTTCCTCTGCTACAGCGGTAACTCCATTCTTACAAGTAGTTGCACGGGCAAACCTCTGAGTGCACCCTGGCCCTTCTCCCACACCCCACATCTAATTGGCCAGTAAATCCTGTCACTTCTGCCAAAACAGACACATGGCATCTGATGGCCGCCCCTCCCCCATCGCCACCTCCTTGGTCAAAGTCACCAGCAGCTCTTGCCTGTGTGTGACCGCACTGGTCCCCTTAGGGTTTCAGGCTCCCAGCCGTATCACCCCACAGCATCTATTCAACCCTGAAGTCAGAGTCGTCTTATTCAACTATGTCAGGTCCCATCTTCCTCATCTCATGACCTGGACCTGATCTATAGGTGCCCGCCTGTCCCCTCTCTGTCTTCCTAATCCTGCTCTTTCACTCACTCCCCTCTTGCACACTTGCCTTGACTGAGCCTGGCCCTCTCCCACCTTCTCTCCTCCTTTCTGCCGTCCTCTCTGACTGTCCGGATCTTCCCCATTCCCCTCTGGGCTCGCTCCCCTTCTCCTTTAAGGTCTTTACTCAAATGTTAATGTTGCCCTGTTCAGCGGAACTTCTCTGAGCTCCGTCTAAATCTGCAATTGGAGCCTCAGGATTAGCTTGAGACAGAGGCAACTGAGATAAAGCAGACACAGAAAGAGCTCTCTGCCTCCCCCATATACCAAACAGCAGGGTATAAATTTGCCTGGTGCAGGTGTGCCTCGCCCCTCCCCCCATTCCTGTACCAGGAAGAGGAGAGCAATCCCAATCACCAGCGACACACCAAGATTAATCCGCATAAGCAAATTTTATCCAATAACCCTTCTCTGCCATTAGCTTTCCCCATATACTTCCTAGTCACCTGCCCACAATTTACAGGTTCTACAAGCCCAACCCCTCTTCTCCTTGTTCTCTGTTGTCTCTCCACAGTGTATTCCCTTTTGTCAAAATGGTACATAGGTGGGGCACCTGGGTGGCCCCATCGGTTGAGCATCTGACTTCGGCTCAGGTCATGATCTCACAGTTCATGAGTTTGAGCATCAGGTTCTGTGCTGACAGCTCAGAGCCTGGAGCCTGTTTCAGATTCTGTGTCTCTCTCTCTCTCTCTGCCTTTCCCCAGCTCATGCTCTGTCTCAAGAATAAACTTAAAAAAAAATTTTTTTTTTAATGGTACATAAGCCCTTGAGCCTAACCACTTGTTCAGATTTTTCACTTCTTTTCTGTGAATCCCCCGTGCATGTAAATTAAAAATCTTAAAATGTATATGCCTCTTCTCCTGTTAATTGGTCTTCTGCCAGTTTAATTCACGGACCCCAGGTGCTGAACCTAGAGGAAAAGCATTTTCTTTCCCTATAATCACTTCTAATCGACCATATATTTTCCATTTGATCTGGCTGTGATATGTCTCCTTGAACTAGAATGTAAGTTCTGTGAAGGCAGAGATCTTTGCCTGTTTTGATCACTACTGTCTCTTTAGCACCTAGAATATTGCCCAGCACATAATATAGGCTTAATAAATACTGGTTGAATGAATAAAGGAATGAAGTACTTTACCCTGCAAATAGTGCCTAGGAAGGCAGCCAAGTGAAAACTCTAGAATTCTAATATTAAGTGAGAGATGTTACAGTCGTAAAAATATTCTTGATCATTGATGCGAGTCGTTACGATGGCAAAGTACGGGAAGTCATTCAGCACACTGGCCTATGTGCCATCAGATCTATCTCTATTCTTGGTACCATGCCATTGGGCAAAGCCTCAGGCTTCTTGGGAAATGGGGGTGGGGTGGGGTAATAACTGACATTTTCAGTAAGACTCAGTAGGAAAAACAGTCTCTAAAAATGAAGAATTGAAAAAAAATTGTATACCAAAGAATTTATTGGAGAATGATTTGGCCATTCGGTTAAACTCAAAGGATGAGATGAGAAAATGGAAATGCAGCTTGGTCTAGGATGAAGTTCAAGATGTATCTGGGCCAAAGTGTCATCTACCATTGTTAGGGGAATTCCCACAAGCTGCCAAAGCTGGGGCCCGGGCCAGTAAGGGATTATCTCCAGGAAAGTGTTCCCTGAGTGGCTTCCAACCACACCCACTACTACTCATTGCCCTCCGTAAACCCCAAATGCCGCCTTTTCTCGGTGCCAGGTTTCATATTTTGAAAAATGCTTTTGCCGTGCAGCTTAGAACGAGGGGAGAAACGGACTTCGGGTGAGGAGGCCCCCCCCCCCCATCTGCTTCCTCCAGAACTGTGAATCCCAGACACCTGGCCTGACTCTCAGGCAGAAGATCCAGGATTTTTTTCTGGTCCACAACAAAGCAGAGAAGACTTAGCTCCTGGCTGCTTGTAAATCTCTCCCGTAACTCGCAACTCGTATAAAAGAATAATTCGCGTATAATGGTCCTTGGCGTTGTCTTTTCTCAAATTTACACTTTTTTTCATGTGGAAGAAATGATCTGCAATATGGAATGTATCTGTATTCTCCCCACTCAGGAAGTTACCTAGAATCATATCTCTGCTGGGACTTCCTTTTGTAATTCAGGCACCCTATTTTCCTGAGGTTGAAATTCAGGAAGCATAACCTTCGATTTTCTCCTCTTTCCCATTTGCTTCTTCCTCTCAGGCTGGAGTTTCATTCAAATCAAAGTAACCGGAACAACCAGTTTAGCAAGATTTTTGTTTGTTTGTTTCCCTTTGAGGATTCCTGGCTGTCCTGCCTTGCTGATCTAGGAGATCAGCTTAGTCGAGGACTTTTTATCTCGTGGCTCTTGGTGGGAAGTTTTCGGGACAAAGGGACTCAGAGTAACAGGCGAAGTTTGCAGATTGGCAAAATCCATTGGATGACACTCAGAATTTTCAACACATCTGTTACTTGTCTGCTTTCATTATGGTAGCTTCCCTCTGGCTCCTTGCGGGGACGGACAACTCTTTGCGAAGGTGAGACGTGACTTCATAACCAATTCTCCGGTGAGTATGAAAACTTTTACTCCCTCCCGCACTGGTTTAGCAGAAGGTTTCTGCTAAATTTAATTGAACTAAACAAACTAAACTAACCCTCCTCAACGGCTGGCAAATATAATACAAACTACCCAGGACAGTGGTATCATTTAATATAGTAAAACAACCAATTTCTCTAGCTTTTTCTGTTCACCATTTCGCTTAACTATATCAGAATTGCTGATATTATAAACTTTCTTTTTGGTTACACTCTTCTATTTTGGGGGGCTATTTCTGGTCATATCTGCTACAGAGGTGAATATTTAAATATATGATTTAAGGGGTGCCTGGATGGCTCAGTCGGTTAAGCGTCCAGCTTCGGCTCAGGTCATGATCTCACAGATCGTGGGTTCAAGCCCCGCATCGGGCTCTGTGCTGACAGCTAGCCCAGAGCCCGGAGCCTATTTTGGATTCTGTGTCTCCCTCTCTCTCTGACTCTCCCCTGCTCACACACTCTCTCTCTCTCTCTCTCTCAGAAATAAATTTTAAAAAAATTTTTTTAATTTTAAAAAATATATATGATTTAAAACTTTATCTTACCCTGCTCACGTGAGTTATTTCCTTTTATCCAAGTATTTAAAGAGATGCAATCCAAAATATGTTACTATTACCAGTAACATGTTAATTTTACCAGTATTATTTTTAACATCATTGACATCGTTCTTTTTTAGTAGTCTCTTTTTTTTTTAACTTTATTTATTTATTTTGAGAGAGACAGAGACAGTGCGAGTGGGGGAGGGGCAGAGAGAGAGAGAGAGACAGAGAATCCCAAGCAGGCTCCGCACTGTCAATGTCAAACCCACAAAACCAAGAGGTCATGACCTGAGCCACAACCAAGAGTCGATGCTTAACCCATGCAGGCGCTCCAACCTCATTCTTTTATTTATCATGTCTTACATCACCAGCATACATAGGAATTTTTAATTTAATGTTTGTGAAGGTTATTGATAGACACCTGGAATTCTAGAAGACACACAAAATTAAGTTCCAGTATTCAAAGTAAGGAGCAAAGAGCTGGGTCCTGAATTTCAGGAGGATCATGCTTGCATCATTGGTAGACTTAAAGAGAGACAGTTTCTCACAGAAATGTTGGGTCTTTTTAAAAAAATTTTTAAGTCTATCTTGAGAGAAAGAGCAAGTTGGGGAGGGGCAGAGAGAGAGAGGGAGAGAGAGAATCCCAAGCAGGCTCCGCAGCGCCGGATGCAGGGCTCGAACTAACAAACCATGAGATCACTATCTAAGTGGAAGTCAAGAGCCACATGCTTAACCTATCGAATCACAGAAATGTTTCTTTCATCAGGAAATTGCAGAGGGTTCTGTCAGAGCAGGAATCTCCACCAATCAGGGAGATGAACACATTCCCGGACTGAACTCCACCTGCCATAACGTGACCCCTGAGTTACCAGACTTGCTCTCAGGATGCTGTGTGTCCACGTGTCCTGTTTCCAGAAGGATAGGCTCTTCTCCAGTTGCCCCTGAAGCTGAAGGCACAGGAAAGCAGGCGCCGACATCTGTGAACACTCAGGACATTCTTTCAAACACAAGGTAACACCATCCAGAAGGCTTACCTTTTCCATAAGCGTAAGATGAGCATGAGCGTCATTCCCAAGGTTTTGCGTAGATTTACCCAAATTCCAATCATTTTGAATATATGGAAAAATTCCTCAATAAAGCCTGGCTTAAAAAATGTCAGCCTGCTTCTGCCAAACAAGTAAGAAAATACTTTGAAGCAGTTCTCAGGGAGATGAAGATAGAGCAATCACATTAAAATTCCTCTGAAGCCTATTTAGGTTGTTTACGCAAAGCTTTCCTATCTTTGTTTTCCTGATCATGAAACAATAGAAAGGGGCCAGAGGAGGATTTTGGTAGCTGGGTTTCCTGTGGGGGGGTGGGGGGGGATGACCTAATTTACATATCCGGGTCCGTTTGAAAATCAAACAAATGCCTGCCCCACGTGCCTGCCATCTGGTTCTTAAGCCAGCCCTCCTTCACTATCCTCATTTTTCATGTTTCGATTTCGTCTGTGTTCATTTGGGGCCAAGGCAAAACTTCATAATGTTCTGCAAAAGCCTGTGGTTAAGTCGCATGCGACAATCCTATGAAGGGATCTGACATTTCTAGAGCTATTCACCATGTGCCAATTTCTGCCAAGTGTTTGGTCTGTGTAATGGCACTCTATCCTCTTTACAACCCAAGGAAGTAAGTACTGCTAATGCCGTCAGTCCCCATTTTACAGATGAACAAACTGAGACAAAAGGAGAAATGACTTGCACAAACCCTCAGGGTGTGAATGTCACAGCCAAGCCAGCCGGCCTCTGAGCCACCTCCTTTTCATGCAGAGCAACACACCCAGAAAAGCATAATTGGAAGGAACAGAAGTCTTCATATTTGATTTTCAGACTTTCAGTGATTCTATATATTCAACCTTTCACTTATAAAAACTTATTAAATCTTCATACTCCCTCGGCTGTCCGAGTGAGTAATGTGTCATCCCACTTCAGGTGAAGAATTGTCATTTCAGAAAAAAATTTTCAGGTTTACATTAGTGATCTATTCCAGTTAAATACATTGCTCAGCAATGTACTTTGCCTTAGATGCTCGGTGTAGGAGAAGAAAACATCAGTTTCACCCCAAAGTAGAATTCATTCAGCCACAATTTTATGAAATTCCAGAAATGGAAAGTATCCCAGCATAAGCTGCCAAAATCCCGGCACGTTTAAGGAAAACTACAAGTTGGTTCCACTGTTGGGAAATAATCAACTTTAGTTAATAAACACAACAGGATATAGTACGGCTCGATCACCACACAGCCTTGGGGGGAAAAACGCCTACAAAGCATTTTGTTACCATTCTTTTTCTCTTCAGATGAAAAATTCTACTTCTCCAGTGTTTCTAGTGTAACTTTCACATCCTGACAATAATATCCAGCAGCATTATAGTCAAATATCAAATGGTGACAAGACTTTTTCACGTCAGAGAAAAAGATTCCAGCCCTTTCTATGTGAAAAGTTTCTTCGGAGGACCGGGGCTATTTCATGCAGATGCATGAAATTTAACATTCATGTCCCCTGGAGCCAGGAACCACTAAACTTAGCAGAGCTTTCGTCTATGGGTTTTAGATCTGATAAAGACACTCTCACAACTGTCTTGTTTCTAGAAGCATTGCTGTGCAGGTTGCCGCAAGAATCCAGAAGTTTCAAACAAAACCTGGCCTCCCTGTGGATAATGTGACCTGCAATGCTATTGGTGACAGTGTGTACTGCAGCAAACAGGAATTTGTATTCCGCATTGCTCTTCAGGCATCAACAAAACATGTAATGAGAATTTTTTTTGCACCGTCATCATTCAAATACGTTATTCAGTTCTGCTCATTAATTTGTAAGCTCCTCGAAAGCAAGAACTAGTTTTGCTCTGCTTTTGGTCTTTGGATCCTGATCATAGACTTAGCCACAGACACTGATCAAAAATGCATGCACGCACACACGTATATACAGACATATACAAATGTTTATAGTTGAAATGATCAAAGTAATTTAAACAGACCCCTCTCCTTACAATGGAATGGAGGGGAGATCAAAGGGAGGAGAGCGAGCACTTACAAGATTATTGTACTTACTCCAGGCAAGTACTGTAGGAGCCAGGGATTAGGAAAGTAGCCACGGATTTCCACCAGACACTTCAGCCCCAGAGCCACTTCGTTATCCTGCCTTAGCTCGGGCAACACGCCTAAGAAATTACAGTTACTGAGAAAACAAGTCACCATGCTTAATTTTTAGATCTTTCAGATTTTTTACATATTCAATTCTAAAGTTGGATGAAAGTGTATTAAGCTTTGTTATTTTATTTGCTTATGAGTCTCCTCCAATAATTCGTTATCCTACTTCACCTAAAGGTTTTCAATTTGGGAAACATAAATAAAAAGCAGTGATTTACCCCATCAGTAGTCTATTCCAATTAAACTGTCCTAGGGAAATGCTGAGGAGGTAGAATGGATGGGCTGAGGGGTTGACTGGAGGAGGGGTATAAAAGAGAGAGAGATACGGAAACACAGAGTGAGAGCCAAAAACGGAGGATGACAATACCACCTTCTCGATTTTGAGAAACTGGATGCTAAAGATGGCGGCACCATTACGGAGTCCAGGAAGACTGAAGGAAATCCTTCCAGGTCAACTATTACAAGAACCTGCTTCCCTCTTCCCATAAGATTTGCCGTGATCGTTGGGGTCAGCTCTTCAACTGATGCTGCTGGTGTTACATTTCATCACTGCGTAGTTATTTCGCTCCAGATATTTCTGAAATGCTCTAAACAGTCCCAATGAAGCTAAAAAAATGCATAGTGTGTTACACAGAGAACTGCGATATGTCCTAAAAACTCAGACCATCTCTCACGGAGCTGTTTGCTTACTGTCATTGGTAAGAAATATTGTGGATGGCCCAGCTGATCTGCCATGCTGAAGTCCGGCGATTAACTCAAAATCATAAGCGTTAATCTTCACAGGTTTGAATTTGAAATAGCATTCTGCCTTTTCTAGGTTAGGATGTTTGTGCATTTTTTGGATGTTTACTTATTTTTGAGAGGGAGAGAGGGAGAGAGAGAGCGTGAGCAGTGGAGGAGCAGAGAGAGAGGGAGCCACAGAAGCAGGCTCCAGGCTCTGAGCTGTGAGGCCGGCATGAGGTTCAAACTCATGAACCAAGAGATCACGACCTGAGCCAAAGTCAGATGCTTAACCAACTAAGTCACTCAGGTGCCCCTATGTTAGTGCACCTTTAATTCGAGCCCATAAGAGGTCAGCTTTCACATGCAGAATTAGCTAACTAATAAGCGTTAAAGATAAAGCAGTAGCCCGATCCTCAATAGAATTTTCCATGGTGAGCCTGCTTTGAAATAGCTGTAAGACCATCTATCTGCTAACAAGTTCTGCCCAAGAATTCCTCGTTTTAGAAATACCAGCACTTACAAATGTTTATCTACCACCAAGTTGACACTCCCATATTTGGACTTCTGTATCCTCACAGAACAGAAAGAAAAATCTTCTCTTTCCCATGTCAGTCTTCACACTTCTTAGACCATTACCACTTCTTTCTGCAGCCAAAACAAATTCTGGTTCCAAAGGAAAGGATGGCCCCTACTTACTCATTTGGAGACATACAGTGTGTATCTGGTACTTTGCTTTGTGCCTTAGTGAACACCTATATGTCATGGGTCCGCTGGAAATCGGTGCTCACGGTGTATCTTGCAAGGTATATGTAGTAGGACAGCAAAGAGCTGCTTGTGCACATGCCTATTACACACCTCTTCTCCACTGTTCCTTCAGATTTCACTTACAGAACACAAGTTCAAAGGCAAATTTATGTAAGGACTTCAAGACAATAACATCTACAGATAGTCTAATCAAGCATGACACCCTTCTGAGCATGAGGCTCTGAGTGACCACACAGCTCACACGCCCATGAAGACAGCACAGATATATAGGTAGGGGGATATCGGAAAGGCTCACTCAAGAAATGTAGCAGTATTAAGAAGACAAGTGTCATCCGTGCTTTGTCGTCCTCAAGTCACAATTTTCCCAAGTTGACCAAAACAGTGTCTGGATTCCAAAATATGATACTAACTGAAGTGGGAATGGAAAGAAGTGACATGTTACCCAAAGGCCAAGTTCTAGCTATGTGTCTTAACATATTACCTAAAATAAGTGGCTTAAAACCATTTTATTGGTCCCTGAGTCACCATGTGGAGGGCTATTTATTGACAAGAAATCTGCTCCTTGGACAGCTACATGATCCAGAAATAAAATTCTATAGCGTTTGAGCCATATATACATGTGATTATATATATGATATGTATATGTGTATGTGTGTGTGTATAATGAGAGAGAGAGAAAGAGAGAGGAATTTGGGCAAGGTTTGTCTGGGACATTCTTTAGTCCCAATGGCACTGACCAGCGTCACTAGGTGGGATTCAGCTGCCACAGAACTGGATTGGATGGTTTCATCCAAATTCCTGGGTCTTTCCACATGGCAGCTCCCAGCAGAGTAGCCAGCCGGCTCAGGGCTCCAGGAGAGAGCGATCCAAGCGCCAGGAAGTGCGAGCTGCCAGATTCTTGGGGCCTGGGCTTGAAAATGGGCACAGCATCACATTTTCAATACCGTATTGGCCAGAGCACTCCTAGAGGCTGCCCAGCTTCAGGAGAGGCAGCGTGGACCTGCCTCCTGATGGACAGAGAATCTGCAGGCTTCTTTAATCTGCCACACGCCCCTTAGCGAGGATCATTTCTATGAGCACCATTAAAATGGTGCCCCCTTAATTTGTGAATTAAGGGACTCAACATATCTTCCAATCAGGCATGGCCTTGTCCCTTTGAGTTTAGTTTCATTGTATGCCATATGTATATATATATTTTATAGTTCTATTCATACCTGCACACACAACTGCTCAGTAATTATAATATCCTAAAACACCATGCCTTCCATATCTTTGGTGATTCCTCTCAGAATATAACCTACTCTGTTACAAGAGCAAGGGGTGAATAAATCTGACTTCTGAT